TTAGGTGCATTTATGTTTATCATTGTTATATTCTCTGGAAAAACTAAGCTCTATAATATAAAGAACTGACGTTATACCTGGTGATTTTTACCTGGAAATCTACATTGATATTAATATAGTGATTCTTGTTTTCAGGGTAATGGTATTTCTATCACACCACTTTAGTTATTCTTTCACATTTCTCTTTAAAGTGAATTAATTTCCCATAGCTAATCTAAAGTTGTGTTTTACAGTTTAATTCAACATGATAATTTCTGTCTTTCAAATAGGTTGTTTAGATTCATTTGTATTTAATAATATTATTGACATGAGTAGAGACTGACTGAACATCTGCTTTTTAAGATGTCCCAAACCAAAGGGTCTCCTAGCTATATTTATTTAAAAGTTGAAACTTAATGATCTGAATTACAGAATACCAGTATGTGAGCCACAGATTTCCTTAGGTTTGCATATTTAACATTTGATTATTTTTTTGTAAATTTTTAAAATTTACTTTTGTTATTGAAAATAGAATTTTTTGTTTTGTCAAGTAATATATCCTGGTTATGGTTTTCCCTCCCTCTCCTCCTCCCACTTCCTCCTTGCCCCCATGCCGTCTGGATCAACTCTCTTTCTGTCTCTCATTAGAAAAAAAAAAATAGGCGGCCAGGGACCATGTTGATGCAAGAGGCCTGTGTGGCCATCTGAAGCCATGAAGATGTTCATGGTCCACACTGCCACCAAGGGCCATGTTTTGGTCTGTGGTCCTACTGCAGCCAGAGGCTGTGTTGATGTCTGAGGCCTGTGTTACCACCAAAAGCCAAGCAGATGTCTGTGGTCTGTGCTGCCCCCTGAAACCATGTTGGTGTCCTAGGGTCATACTGCCACTGGAGGCCATGTTTACGTCCATGGTCTGTGCTGCTGCCTGAATGAAGTCTGTGGTCCATCTTACTATTTGATTTCTACTTCTCCCATCTGTCTTTTATTTCCCTCCTAGTTTTTGAGTATTTTTAGGTTACGTTTTATGATTTCATTTCATATTCTGTGCAGGTATATTAGCTATAATTTCTTATTTTGTTACTTTAGTGTTTCCTTTAGGGATTTTTACAGTACATATCTTTTGGCCTGTCACCATTAAATGATATTATACCACTTCATATATAATCCAGACTTCTTAACTACAGTCAGTTCTTATTTCTCCTTTTCATGCTAATGTTGAAATACCATTCACACTTATATATGTTAAAACCCTCACAAAAGCCTAAGTCATTATTCACTCAGCCTATAACTCACCCATCTCACTTTGTGTTCTCACTTCCTGTGAGATTCATAATGCATTTAAGATATATTTCCTAATTTAATCCAAGAGTTATAGGTATTTAGAATATGGTTCAGAATATATGTTCCACATGGTAATGTTAGTCCTCTTCACTAAAGGACAGGCACAGTTTCAGACCAGACATACTGCAATTAGGAGAAACTGAATTATTAAAATCACCCAATCAGCAGCATTTGTATTGGAGCCCTAGTAAGTGCTGCCTGCTCTCTCTTCCTGACAAAGCTTCCACTGTAATTGTTAATTCTCAATTCAAAGCTTTGTTTCTCATAGATGTACCATATGTTTTGACATGTCTCATCTGGGTAATGTATACAGAATGAGCTGGTCCTCTTCAGGATCTTTTCATCTGTCTATGTGATTATCAAGTTAGATGGATCATGTATCAAAAATGTACCTTTTAGCCTTTATACATGGAGCATTGGGGCATGGTGTATTCTATCTTCATGATTCTGAAACATTATGACTAAGATCAGTATGATCTAGTGAAATACTTCAAAGATCCAGATACAAATGGCACTCTTACTGCTAGTGACGGTGAGCTTAAGAAAAATATCAGTGATGGGAGCCCAACCTTTATTGGTCCATAACAAATCCTACTGTTATGATTCATGAGCTGTTGGTTAATACTAAAAATAAAATTACATAAACTCATATGTATGTGATTCATAGTAAAGCTAAGCCAGCAAACACAAAATCATAACATATTTTACTATTACATATGCTGTGAATATTTTGTGGCTTCCTATGCATGGAGAAGTTTAAGGTGTATGCTACTGCTCATTTTTTTCCCAACTCTACATTGCATAATACCCCATAGGTTGCTTGAAACTGGCCATAGTGCAGGTATTTATACCAGAGGTATAGGCATCTGGCAAAACTCAGTGTCTGGTTTGTCTTTTTGTTTGTGGTCCAGGCTAAGTAAGTGATAGAGAAAATGTTAGCAATGCAGCTAGAAGTCAAGCCTTTCCTATCTGTGGCTGGTACATTGTGAGTAGCACAGAACACTGAGGAAATAGTCTGCTGTATAAAATGCTTATCTAACTCAGTAAAGAAATACTGGTGTCATGAGCAAACGAGTCAAGTTCTGAAACTTTTTTCTTTTCATTTTGTCTGTTTCTTTAACTTAAAATATCAATCAACAGTCATGAGAGAACTCACAACTTTGTCAGGTTGCAACCATAGGATGGCTATAGATATAAGAATTTGACAAAATGAAAATGTTCTATCAAAATCAATTGGTGACAGGCAACTTACTCTAAGGGGCATTGTGTATTATTATTTGTGAAGTGTATTCATATATCTATTGATGATATACTTCCACATATTTATAAACACAGCCAACAACAAATACTAGGAAGCTCACACACTGCTAAAATTCTCTCAGATTAAGACTCTTCATTTATTAATCCAAGTGGTCAATCCATAAGAATGATACTGGAAATTTATGTTTTCATTTTTGCAACTATTCCACCAGCAGCCTTTTATCATTCTCTCTAATCCCACAGACGGACATGACAGGGGTGGCAATGGCATCTTTGTGTAGTTGTTGCCCCCATGCCGTCTGGATCAACTCTCTTTCTGTCTCTCATTAGAAAAAACCTTGATATGTACAGTCACTTTTGCTTTTGTCAAACTCCACCCTTTAGTGATTCTTCCATCTCCTCTTAGTTACCTCCCATCATTTCTTTTATTACCAATGCCCTCCTTTTAACAAGCTGGAGACTACAGTTGATTCTGTTACAGTTAGTCACATGTGAGTCCATAGACTCCCAGTAAGGACCAGAGGGTGCTTGCTGTGGGATGTCATTCTGTATTCTGTGAATATGTGTTGCTCTGATTGGTTGCTAAATAAAACACTGATTGGCCAGTAGCCAGGCAGAAATTATAGGCAGGACAGGCAGACAAAGAGAATTCTGGGAAGAGGAAGGCTGAGTCAGAGTCACCAGCCAGACACAGAAGAAGCAAGATGACAAGGCAGAACTGAGAAAAGTTGCCAAGCCTCGTGGCTGAACATAGATAAGAATTATGGGTTAATTTAAATGTAAGAGCTAGTCAGTAATAAGCTTAAGCTAATGGCTGAGCAGTTATAATTAATATAAGCTTCTGAGTGATATTTTTATAAGTTGGCCACAGGTCTGTGGGGGCTTGGCGGGACCAGAGATACTTTCTGGCTACATTTGGCATACCAATGTAGGGCTCTCAAATTTCCATAGGACTAAAAGAGTTTAAAGGGACTTCTAAACACACAATAATGGAGCCAAAAACAGTTTTCTACTTCATGTCTCGTGTGGGTTGCGATATAGAGACACCATCCCACCATCCAGGGAGCAACATGTAATAGCATACAGGTAAAGCCATGGAACATGTGGTGACATATAGGTTAATAGAAATGGGCTGAGTTTAGTTAAAAGAGCTAGCTAGCAAGAAAATTGAGCCATAAGCCATGGCCATGCAATTTGTAATTTATATAGGCCTCTGTGTGTTTACTTGGGTCTGAGAGGCTGCAGGACCAAGGGGAACACAGAAAAACTTCCAACTACAGGTCCTTGTCACTGCTTTTTGATTATACTCTTTCTTACAGAGACATTATAATGAAATATTTTAGGTTTGTAAGAGGGATTATAGATTATATAATAGACATCTATCCATATACCTTCTGTCATGTTTAAGAAGAAACACATAGGAAATACCCTTGAAGATCCTTGTATTTCTCTCTAATTGTACTTCCCCTTTCTCTCCACATCTAAGCTAGCCTAAATCCATCATTTTCAGATACAGTCTAGACTCAGGCTTCATAGTTTGTTTTACATACTCTTAATTATACAAAACATAACAACTCTGTGTTTTATACACACACACACACACACACACACACACACACACATATTCAATATATTTCATACTTTAGATCAATTTTAAGTTTATAAAATTACCAAGCAGAAAGAAATCTCCTCTGACTTTACCTCACAATTGGAAAATACATTTTCATTTGTCTTTCCTGAATTTCTGTGAAGGCCAGGGCTTTTTACATTAGCATTTTTACAGCTGATAGTTGGAATTGGGTAAGTTCCTCAACAATGTGCACAGCATAGTCCCCCTGAGAATCTCCTTCATTAGGCATAGTGCTTGATCCAAAACATCTGTTGAATTAATAGAAGTACGAACAAACATATTTTAAATCCTAGTATCAACAGTGGAAGCTCCTTGTGTCTTTCCACAAATAACAGGCTGGACCATTAAAGACTTCTCTGTCAGAAATAAAGGAAAATGGGTTCAAGTGTAGGCAGCAGAGATAAGGTCTTCAGACTCTCATAAGCAAGGACAAGATTGTCAGTCACCACCAGGAGTAATGTTCTCAAAGCAGCAAAGTTTGCAACTCAAAGACATTTGTAAGCTGGGGACTGCCTCTGTTTACCGGCTGAGAGAGCTTCAGATAATGAACCATGAAAGCCTGCTATGCAAGAGCACTATGCAATAAGTTTTCATTTGCTACTAGTCAGCTTTAGGGATCAAGGACAGTTAAACACATAACCCACTCATGCATGTTATTTTAAAGGCACATTTTAAAGTTATAAATATGGTACATTGAGTTAATGAGGTATGTTCTTTTGGTGACAAATATTTACATTCCACATATGCCTCTTGGTGTCAAGACACCATTTCATTTTCTTTCTTTTCTCAGGAGGCTGGGATGCAGATGGAAGAGGCCCTTGTGTCTGGGACACATTCACCCATCAGGGAGGAGAGCGAGTTTTTGAGAACCAGACTGGTGATGTAGCTTGTGGCAGCTACACTCTGTGGGAAGAAGATTTGAAATGTATCAAACAGCTTGGATTGACTCATTACCGCTTCTCTCTTTCCTGGTCACGTCTGTTACCTGATGGGACGACAGGTTTCATCAACCAGAAAGGCAAGTGTTTCTTAAAAATAGAAGGTTGCAGCTTTAATTCAAGGTTACTGCTGCAGTCTGGCATAATTAATCCAGCATGCTGTTCTGCAGGGCAGCTTTGAAAATCACAAGTTTTCAGAGTGATTATAGGATAAAATTTTTGAAATGGGTTTGTATTAGCTTCCTCAATAATATTTTGGTTTACCTGGGCTCTTGAACTGTTGGAGGAAGAAGGAGGGGTATATTGGCAAGAAGAAGGCTGGAATAGGGGTTTTATTCAGGTAAGATGTTACCTCAGTGAAGGTGAATTCCCAAAAGCTGTTGTATTAAACTACTTTTGTAGTTGTGTCACCCATGAGGAATTATGAAAGCCCCAAAGAACCTGAAAGGCTTAGGAGAATTTCAGCTGCACTGAGCTCCCAATGACAGCAGAGGGCTTACGTCCCCAGCTCCCTGGAGCGCACTTAGTTGAGACGAGGTTTGAAGCATCCAGTGCATCATCACATACTGTGTGTATCCGTTTCTCTTGGCATCACTCAGTGACTTAGTTTCTCCGTGAGTAGAAAGGAATGCCACAAGAGTTTACACTTCAGAGAATTATTAAAGATTACATGGAATAATTTTGTGCTTCATATAGTACCTGGACTATCATAGACATTTATTAAGTGCTAGCTATTCTTATAATGCATAAATAAGAGAAACATTGACTTTTGCATTGGATGCCTTACTTAGGCATTTTAACACCCACTTTCTCTCATTCTCAAACCAATAAGGACGACAGGAAGACACCATGATTATATTTTATAGATGTAAATGTCCAAGTCTACCTATTTGGCAATTAAATTTGAAATCTAAACTTATGATCTAGCTACATTTTATATAAATAGACTTGGAAACTTGGCCTGGGGACCAAATCTGGCCCACCACCTGTTTTTGTAAATAAAGTTTTACTGGAGCACAGCCATGGCCATTCATTACACATCATCTATGGTTGCTTCCCTACTGCAATGGCAAAAGTGAGTAGATGGGGTGGAGAGCATATGGCCTACAAAGTCCAAAATATTAACGATCTGGTTCTTTGCAGGAAAAGTTTGCCAACTCCATATTCTACAGCATATGGCTCCTAAACACATACCCTTTATTATTACTTGGTCCTGGAAAAGAATTCACGCAACTCATAGAAGAGGTACTAGATCAAGCAAATGAAGTGCTCTGAGTGCAAAATATAGGGAGCATCCCATAAACACAGGATGGACAATTGCATGACCTGAGAGTGGCTCCTCTCCCTATGTCACCAAACTTTCCACACTCTCAGAGCCTTCATAATGCCATGTGTAAGCTACATAAGTTAGTGCATGCAACAACTCATTATGCTAGTTCCTGCCTGTGCTTGGGAATTTGCAGTGTTTGTCTCACACGAGACTGGCTATTTCCTCCTTGTGAAATGTATCTACAACCACAGAGGCTTGTATGACACTGTGGACTTTAGGGCTGGAGGTCCCCAAATAGGAACAACCCAAGATAAGGAGGCCTATTGCTGCAATTCAGGAGATAGTAATCAAATTGAATGTAGAATTATGGCACATCATTGATTGTTTTTATTTCTGACTTTGAACAAGAGGTGGTATGTTGGTCAGCTCAAAGGAGAACCCATATTTTTCTATCTTGCTCACCCAACATCTCTGCCTTTTTTCTTTGGTACCATGATACCTCAGGCTCTGACAATTGACTCTGAGTGAGCTCAGTGTCTTGCTTTATTCATCTCACTTGTTGCCAATTGTATTTGACTGTCTTTGTGCCTTTGTAGCTGTTAGCCTTCTCCCTTGCTCAGCATCCTTCTAGCCCTCACCTGTTTATTATTTTAAACAAGGACTTTTTGGCATACACAGACGGATTTGCCTGCCTTCTCCCTTTCTGTCCTCCAGTCTTTCCTATAAATACATCCACATCAACTTTCCTAAATCTTGGTCTAACTCATAGTAGGCTGGGTCATCTCCTTCCAAAACAGCAATTGAAAAACATTGTTTTCATTATTTCAAGGCTCAGTAAGAAATTTTCTTCCTCTTGTATCACTCTAGGTTCTATTTGACTTAGTTTTAACTTACTTCTGAGGCCTTCTAAGCTGGCATTTTCCCTGGTGTATTTGTATGAAATCTCTCAAATACACAAGGTACCACCACTCATTAAACATAATACACATCTTTCACATTTGGAGGAATTTGCTCACACTCTTCTTCATATTTAGAATGGCCTTTCTTTAACCCCCAATTATGTTTGCTGAAGGCCTAACCTCCCATTTAGGCTTTTTTTGCTCTAAAATCTCCATCTGTTCCGAGCAGAAGATAATCTAATCTCTATTCTCTCTCAGTCTCTCCCTCTCTATCATCTATCAATCATATCTATCATCTATATCTATCTATCTATCTATCTATCTATCTATCTATCTATCTATCTATCTATCTATCTATCTATCTATCATCTATCATCTACCATCTCATAGCACATGCAAATTTCTCATACTCTTTACTATTACTTTTTAGAGCACTTTGTATTTAATTCCACTCAGAGTGTATTGAGTATGACTTATGCCTAAAAGACTGTGCTATGTACTCACAACAAAGATGGAAGGGAATCCCTTGAATTGCTTATATTGTGAAGGGTAGATAATTCTGTCTGAAGAGCTCTGAAATCTAGTCTACTGCCTTCCAGAGAAGGATGCTGTGGGATGTCCTGTATGCTGTGAATATATGTTGTTATGATTGATTGATAAATAAAACACTGATTGGCCAGTAGCCAGGTGGGAAGGGTAGTGTAGGCAGGACAAGGAGAGAGGAGAATGCTGGGTGGAAGAAGGCTGGGGAGGGAGACCCTGCCAGCCGCCACGAGGAGAAGCATGATGTAAGATACTGGTAAGCCACAAGCCATGTGGCAAGGTATAGATTTATAGAAATGGGTTAATTTAAGATATAAGAACAGATAGCAAGAAGCCTGCCACAACCATACAGTTTACAAGTAGTATAAGTCTCTGTGTGTTTACTTGGGGGACTCGAGTGGGAGAGATTTGTACTGATTGCCGATAGGCTGGGACACAGGAAAACTTCAGCTACAGAAGGATTCAGTAAATAGTTCCTTAATTTATTAAGGTCAGTAACAATCATAAAAACCACTGAGTACAGTGATGATCTTCTTTTATTGAGCAGGTAGTACATGTCAGTCAGTGTGCCAAACACAGCACTTGCTTTTGCAGTTTTATGTTCCTATTAGGCCCATGCATGAGAGGCCTCCATAACATGGGCCATGGGCATAAGGCTGGGTTCAAAATTTCCAAGATGACAAATTTGGTTATTACCAAGTTCAGCTTAGATCTGCCATCAAAATCCTAGTGCTCAGTATGGAGTGCACCAAAAACCATGCAAAACCACCTGAACTCTGCTGTAATTTTGCTCATGAAATAAGTAGAAGTTCCATGTTTCCAAGACTCTTTTCATTGGTGGAGTTTCCAATGAGCTTCCACTTGGATGATACAGAACATAATGATAATCTTCAGAACTGTGATTACCACCAGGATTATAAGACAGCCCTACCATTCCCTCTTTGAACCTCTATGATCCTGAGGGCTCTTACTGAGGTCTTCTCTACAACTAAACGGGCATTTCAAGTGGAAGTTAATGTATGTGAATATTATTATTTTGGTTTCTTTCATTATCTTGGTTTGTCATATTTGATGAAGATATTCATATATTTTGCTACAGAGAAAACTGACCCAGACCCACTGTGGTTTTTAACTTATTGTATGACACATGATCTGCTTTTTCTCTCCAAAATGCCCAGATTCTGAAGATATTCTCTCTCTCTCTCTTTTGTTTTGTTTTTGTTTTTTCCAAGACAGGGTTTCTCTATGTAGCTTTGTGCCTTTCCTGGAACTCACTCTGTAGCCCAGGCTGGCCTCAAACTCAGAGATCCACCTGCCTCTGCCTCCTGAGTGCTGGGATTAAAGGCGTGCACCACCACCACCTGGCTGAAGATATTCTCTCTTAAGACTTATTTATTTATTCTTTGTGTTGCACAGAGGCAAAAGTATGTGTATATGTACATTTATTTACATGCTTGTAGAGGCCAGAAGACAGTCATTGTATGCTTTTTCTCAGGCTCATTATCCTCCACCTCTCTGTTTTTGAGATAGGGTCCCCTTTTGGCCAGCAACTCACCAAGTAGTTCAGGCTGGCTGGGCTAGCCAGTGAAATTCAGGGATCTTCCTGTCTCTGTCACATCAGCTCTGATATTATAAGCCTATTCCATCACACCCTACTTTTAAAATTATTGTTTCTGGGAACTGAACTCAGGTCCTCAGGCTTACAAGGCAAGCACCATACAGATTGAACAATCTCCTGCCTTTTACCAAGGTTTTTAGCTAAAGAAGTATGAAGCTGTACCAATATATCAAACATTGAGAGACAGCTTAACACATGCAGAAGTTTGTGGACACACTGAGAGTCAGTGATCCAAGAGCAAGGAGGCAGAGAAACTGGAACATTGACATAGAGGCACAAAGGTTGCTGGAGCCAGTTGAGTGATCTGGGGGTGGTGAGGACAGACTCTTGCCAAGTGCACTTGGTGATCACCTGGCCATCACACACAGCTCTTTTTGTGTTTGGCCTCAGTCATAGCTGATGAATAATCTGAAGTTTCTTCTGAACAAGAAGGCACAGGAGGTGCTTACAGGAAGTGGGATTTCAGCAAGCAGCTGCTCATTCTTGTGCAGTGATCTGTTGAAGAGATTGGAATGGTTTAAACTCAGAAAGGCCATTGTGTGCCACCCCATTTAAACATTTTCTCAAAGAACATGTAAAGATTAAAACAAAACATTCTTACTGTTGTTGTCCAGGAATACAAGACACTCTCTCTGTCTCTGTCTCTTTGTCTGTCTCTCTAGGTGTCTCTGTCTCTGTGTCTTTCTCTGTCTCTCTGTCTCTCTTTATCTATCTCTGTCTCCCTCTCCCCCTCTCCCTCCCTCCCTCCCT